CCCTACTTGGAGGATCATTGGACTTAGTAAGTAAGGTTATAAGTCCCTTAATTGGGGTTATAAGTATAGTTGCCCTAATTATAACCCTACTTGCTAAGTCCCATGATCCTTTAAGTACACCCCAAAACCCTCAACCTTTATACAAAGGACTAATGGAGAAAACCATCCCCCCCCTTTTCTAAGCTTTTCCTCCTAACATGCACAGCCTTCGGAACCCTAAACCCTAAACCCTAAACCCTAAAAGCCTAAAGCCTAAAAGCCTAAAGCCTAAACCCTTAACCGTCTAAAGCCCTAGACCTTCGGAACCCTAAATTCCAAACCCTACACCGCGGCCTCTAGAGGCGTAGGGTCATACTTAAACCTCTGGGTCCCTAGGACGCCTTCAAAAAGAAAGCAAGGGCTCTAGGACTTACGGTTTAGGGTTTCGGGTTTAGGGTTTAGGGTTTCGGGTTTCGGATTTAGTAGTTAGAGGTCTCGGGTTTAGGGGTTAGGGTTGTTCGTCCTACTTCATGTTCGCCTTGCCCAGGACCCTGCGTAGTAAGTACCTCGATTCTTCGAGATGATTTGGGAGTTTCCGAACATTAGGGAACCTTATTTTGGGGTCCTTATAATAAGGAGCCTACTGTTTAGGGTACTATATTAGGGTCCCTTATTTTCGGAAACCCCCATTTGTTGCGGGCTTTATAAGGCTTTCGAAGCTGTGCTTTCGAAAGCTAAGATGGCGCCCCGGAGAGCCTTGAACAATTGGAAGAATAAGGATGAGAATGGCCTCGTCCTTGGCACCCATCGGTTTAAGTTTTCGGGTTTGCGGGCATTGGTGAACGGATTCCGGCTTCACAGAGTACGGTGATATCCGGAAACGCCTAGTGGGCCAACAACTTAGGGTTTAGGTATTCTACATGAATGCATACATACATACACACATACATACGTATGCCACATAGGTATACTTTATGCACGATAACCGCGATATAAAGCTACTACGCACACGGTACATGAATATGCAAGATATACGGTGTATTATATAGATACACACACACACGCTTTATACACTATACTGTGTATGTGTGTGTGTGTGTGTATATATATATATATAAATATAAACACTCGATATGCTACATATGCTATATATATATATATACCCAGACTAAACATGCTACACAAACTATACATACTGCATATGTATGCGGTATAAATCTACACATCATACATCCAACACGGCTACAGGGATCCTCGCTTTACACAACCCGGGACCCGAACATAGACCCTGGATTACCCAAGCAACGGAATGCTACAAGTAGGGTGAGGACAGCTTTGCCTATGTTCAAGATAAACCTGAAATGGGGGTTTCCGAAAATAGGGGACCCTAATATAGTACCCTAAATAGTAGGATCCCTATTATAAGGACCCCCCAATAAGGTACCCCCCTAATTTTCGGAAACTCCCAAATAATCAGGACTCCATTGATAAGGCACGGACCCCGCCTAACTAAGGCACCTCCGCTGTTGAGAGAAGCCGTGCTTTGGGGCACTACTGCTATCAAACTTGATTGTGCTCCCAGGGTTTAGGGTTTAGGGTTTAGGGTCCCTAAACCCTAAACCCTAAACCCCTAAGCCGGTGCTCCTCGAGGATGTACTTGCAGAAGAGAGCGATGTTGGACTGCATCAGCGTGACGGCTGTGGGGCCGGCGACGTACCTGAAAATCTCGGGGATTTAGGGTTTAGCGTTTCGGGTTTAAGGGAATAAAATCTCTGGGATTTGGGTTTCTCAGAAAGTAGGGTTTAGGGTTTAGGGTAGAAAGTAGGAATCTACTATACAAGCCCGATGTGATAGGATATCAGGACCCCAAATGACTAATGTTTCGGTTAAAATTAAATGCCCCATGAGTTCACAAGCCGTTGTCCTTATCCCTGAGACGGATAGCCACAGGCACAAACACCAAAGCCCTCTGAAAGCCTTCCGAGAAGATGCCCCTACAACCGCAAACTCCTTTGGACTTAATGTTTTGGGCTTAAGGCTCGTGTTTGGCTGTTAGGGTTGAGGATGCGACATGCGGCGAACACACGGACGAGAGAGAAAGCCAACTTCGCAATTCTTAGGTTTGGAACTTAAGCCCACTAGGCCCTAAGCGGCTCTCGAACCAAAATTCGAAACATATCAGCCCTTGCTACACTGGTCAACCCAGCCCCCCAATACCCAGCACATAAGTTAATAAGAGTAGGCTTCAGAATTGGGCTGAAGGATACTTAATGATTGAGGCTTCTTGCTCCCAACTTGATGGCAAGGCGCATCAGACACACGTAGCAGAAGGCTTTGTTTCGCAAAGCCAGGGAGATTTCTGTGACGATTCCCGTCGACACCGGAACTTCCTGCAAGAAGCGGTCGGAAAGAGCTGACAACAATTCCGGAACTGTGGTGAGGACGCCCTGGTAGCAACATGTATAAGGCCTAGGGCTTAGGGTATGAAGAACTTGATGTAGGGTCCTTAATGATTAGAATAGGGTTTTGGGAGCTCGTTAGCATCAGTATAGTATACTACATACCCCGCACCCTATTCTAATTATTTAGGCCCCTATATTATTTGAGAACAAGCTTTCTCGATCAACCAGGTTCCTATAGCGGCCGGCGAGTGCGGTTATCAAATCGGAGAGTTCCTGGGAAACGATCTGTTCGCTTGTTTGCAATCGGGCACATGCTGAACCGCACAGGTTCGGGGTTTGAGAGCTTGCTTAGGGTTTAAGGCCGTGCGCACACTCAGATATGGGCTGAGGAATGAGAAGTTTGCTCAATGCATCTGCGCCTGCTGGAGTGACTTGTTCCGAGGCCGGAAAAAGAACAAAAATAGTGACATCCTCCCCAACACGTGCTGCACAATCTCCTAAAGCTCGGATACCGAGAGCACTTTAAACAGTCAGCACTGCGAGGCCATCAAAGAAGACCAAACCACAGAATCGCTGATGATTGCGCGGCTCCTCTACCACCGGCCGTTCCTGAATGCCGCAGAAAACTGTCCATGAGAAGATCCAGATGCAACTGGCGCAGATGACTGCCTGTGCTTGCAATGGTTCAGGCCTGGGATATTGCTCAGTCTGTTCAACTCCTGTATGCGTCATGGTTTCGTGTTGCCCGTCTGCTTGTTCTAGGCCGAAGCTTTATTGTAGACTTCTTGGCTATGCGCAGCCTTATGGAAACTGTTGAAACTTTAAGAGAACACCTAAAGCTGGTTTTGTTTGAGGGTCTGTGAGAAGGCTGAGTCAGGAAAGCCGCCAAGCCTGAACACTCACACCATAACCGACAAACCTCAGTTTAGGGTTTAGGGTTCAGGGTTTAGGGGTACAAACCCTAAACCCTAGTCAAAACCGAATCCTACCCCACACACTGGCGTCCCAACCTCAAGCACCAGCTCCTAAAGACCACAACCAACAACAGTTCTCTAAGGCAAACATGGCCCGAACGGCCTTTTATCTTCTAGGCGTGGGCCCCACCATCCTCCAACCATACTCCCGTAATATAGAGCCCGAAAGCATCACAGAATTTTGTCAAGGCAAGGAATGCAACCACATCCATCCTGACCAACAACCCTTGTAAGACCATATTCTACAAAAACATAAGACCATTGAACGACAACCACATCATGCACTCGCTAAACCCCCTAAAACCCAAGGCTCGCCCCAAACCCTAAACCCCAAACCCCAAACCCTAAACCCCAAACCCTAAACCCTAAACCCCAAACCCTAAACCCCACTGATCCCGAAATAAACATATAACCCCAAACCCTAAACCCTAAACCCCAAA